TGAGGTGAGAACTGGAACCGAACAAAGTCCACCGCTTCCTTCATCTCCCAGATTATGCGTCTTTTGGCTGCCGCGATCCAGCCTCGATGAGGGGAAAGTATCGAAAAGCAACTGTTCAAATGCGACCAAAACATGACATCCCACTTTATCAGCAGTATTTGAAAAAGGACGCGAGTAGAGAGAGACCACGTCAACGTATGAAGCTGATACCAAGGAAAACCAAACAAAAATTCAAGTCCCCTTTCAATCGTGTAAAAGTATTTTCCTTTCTCTCCCTTACTTTCCAAAATGGAGTAGATTAACGCCTGCTGCAAAGGCATGATCGCGCATTCATACCTCGGCTGTTTACACTTAATTCTTGAAAGTTTGCTCGGCCAACCCAAAAGCGCCACATTCTAGAATACTTGTGATTCTTTTCCCCTTTCCCTCCAACACAACATCGCTTACCAATGTCCAGGTATATTCTCTATTTTGTGTTTAGCTGTTTCTCTATCCAGGAAAAGCGAGGGGAAAGTGGCTGACCCCTGAGCACCTCTGCTCCTTTGAAGGTCTTCGTTCTATACGTCCCTCAATCCTGATACCACCCTTGACTTCATATGTGGAGCAAAATGCAAAATGGGCTCACTTACACGCGCTCAAATGCGGTATTTACAAATACCATGACTAAGTATGACGTTTTCTATAAATAGTACTTTATTGCCGACATATAACGAACTTGTAAGCGTTGTTGGGGAAAGTATTTCGTGCCATAATTATTGCTCGAGGCTAACGTGCGCTACTATTACAATGTCTAGCATACGAAACTTGTGTAATATTATAACCCACACCCTCGTGAACGCTCGCAAGCTACTTCTTTCGCAGCATTTTGCTCACGGATTTCTATTTCGACGCAAGCATATTCCACGTTTAGCAGGTCGTTGGAAAGTTCATGATCAAACATTGGTCATGCTTTCGTTTTGAAGCTGAAACTCTCTCTACCTCTCTTCTTTTTCTTTCTACATTTATCTACTATAATACAGCAGAGTAACTTTTTTACGGGATATAATTACCTGTGGTCTTGGTTATGCTTAAAAGCCGCGCCAATGATTATAAGGAGTCTCTCGCATAGTGTCTCTCACATTCAGAAACCTTTATTTTTTCATTGAAGTTCTTCTAAAAAGTAAATGTTTCACAACGTATTTCCATGATGGAATGGCGACCATTTTGGGTGCAATTCGAGAGCTTAGTAGAAGCGTGCAGCCGAGGTTCAAAATTTTAAAATTCGGCGAGGGCGTTCGCAGCATTTGGAGCAGCTCGTCCCTCGCCGACCCTACCTGTGGCTGTGACACTTGCCAGGAGGTCCGAGGATTCCCTCCATCGTTGTGGGCAAAGCAAGTTTTATGTTCACTTCATGATTGGACGTCCTCAGGTCTCTTCCTTTGGGACTTAATTCATCTTGAGTGCTCAGAGATTTTTTTTTCATACAGTCGTGATTTGGCCAAATTATTGATCAAGAAATAATTTGTCGCAGCTTTGTCACAGTTTTTGCTTCACATTGCCTGTCGGCTTTCTGATTGACAGCGCGGCATAGACGAACAACACAATCACGGAATTTGGAACCACTCGAGTCGAAAAGAGGAATAATAAGGACTTTCTGAAGGCTCCTATATTTATTTGCTCCATGTCGCTCCTCATGACCTACCACTCTATCTTACCAATCACGCCACAGAAGGCCCTCTCCATGGCCCGTTTATTTTCCTCCTCCGCTCTCCTGCTTATTTCTGCGCTTCTCCCTCTTCTAGACGTCGGAGGACATGAGGCATGGCCCGGGAGCTTTACTTGCCCCCCAACGCAAACCCTCTCTCCCAGGGTGAATGCGTCAGGCGTATGCGACTGTGCCGCTGGATGGGTCGGTCCGGAATGTGGAATTTGCACGTCTGACGAAGCCTGTGCCAGCATCGAAGGAGAGGGTTCTAGGTGTGCACAAACGTCCTTCGCCGGAGAAAAGAAACTGGTGAGGAGCTTCGTGAGGGTGATGATGCGTGTAGGAAAGCCGCCGAAGCAGGAAAAAGCGAAGGGGCACGCAGCGGATGGGGACAACTGTTATCGATATCATCTCTGCTTTCTCCCTCAATGTCTTAGGAAGCAATGCAAGTGAGGCGATGGCCAGCAACCCAAGTCACTTTTTTCCATTCTGCCCTTTCTCCTTTATTCTTCCATCCCCGGTCTCTTTTTCTTCTTTAGGCGGGCTTTTGTGAAATAACGACCCCTGCCATTACGGACCTTTTGCACGGCACTGGCTTTGTGCAGATGAAGTTCGAGCCGGGCGACTTCTCCTTCCTTTTCATCAAACGCCACGATAACCCCACAGACCCTGCCTTGGCGACGTACCTGCCTATCTTCCGCTGCCAATCGGACAGGACGACCGTAAAAACAAATCATGGCACCGGCGCTGTCACGTACACCTCTCCGGACTTATCCTGCGCTTTGACCTGTGTGGTGGGGGAAGACCGTTCTTGCACGAGCATCTTGGAGCGGGTGGTCAAAACCGTTGGGTCCTTGGGTGGAAGCACCATCATATGCGACCCCTTCACCAAAGCCTGCGCCGTGAAAGAGATCACGCTCGATACATTCATCGCCGGAGGGGTGAAAACGGCCAATTGTCAAGTGAGCGAATGCCTGGCGCCTGTTCCTTTGGTGTCGCCCAAGACCACACCTTTGCAGCCTCCCTCTGTGCCTGCGGCTCCCACAGCACCCGCCGCCCCAATTACCCGAACCCCTCCCTCTTCCACGGCCTCTGTCGACCCCACCGTACCTGCAGCCTTGCCTGTACCCTCCAATCCTGCTCCTGGCATCCCTCTCCCCGCGAATTCTGCGACTGGCACCCGTTCTGGCCCCCCCCGGGCGCTGCGAAGCTAAATGCAATCGCTTAAGCGGAAAAGGATTGCTTGTCGCCGTGAGAGAGTTTGACAGTCGTTGGCCCGGTAAGGAATCTAAATCATTGCAGAGGTCGTTTTTCACAGGGTGGTAATGTTGCGGCAGCGCAAGCATATGGCAGACGTTTATATGTTTTCCTGCTCTTAGCCTTTCAAACCAAGGTGTTGTAGGCACTGTGGTGTTCGTGTGGTTCAGGATTTCACACAACACTAGACAAGGACGTAGGAAGGAATCTTGTGGATGGAGGGAAGGAAAAGGACAGGCGGAAGGGGCCATATCGGATTGCTTTTGCCGTATGTGAAGGACAGGGGATGCGACCTAGCCCTACGATAGTCTCTTTACCTCTGGATGACATGCTGCTGAAGGAAGAAAATGAAGGAAGGAAAAGGCGACCAGAGGTTGGGGCGGAGGGACGGCGGGAAAAAAGATGGAGTGGGGCAATGGAAGCACACTGCACAGACAGAGGGGTCTTGACGCAGGAAAGGCGGGGAGGGCAAGAGAGAAGCGTGTACATAGGGCAAGCGGGCGTGCCCGAGGCTCGACAGTACGTTTGCATACAGACACATAGCAGGTATATGTATATTTGTTGCCAGGTTAATGGAGGTTGAAAAGCGCAATGGGAGCGGTCGCATTTGGAAAAAAAGCACGCAAAAATTATGGATGTTGTAAATATTGCTCTTCGTGATTTCTAGCTTTTCATCGAGAAGCCACTGTACCGCAACAACTGAAACATTGTCTTTATCCCAATCACATTGAATTCCCCTCCTCTCAGTTTCCCAACCCCCTTTTCTTCAATCTCAGGTTCCTTTCTCCGTGGTTTCGCTTCCTTTTTCGCCCTTATCTTTGGAGACATCACCATTTGCAGCCGCCTTTTTCTCCTCTCCATTTTCTTCCTCCTTCGTTTCTCCTCCCACCTTTCCCTTCCCTGCATTTTCTGATCCTTCTCCCGCCGTTACAGGACCTCCTGAAGCGGCCGCCGCAGTTGCGGCCGTAACCGCCTCTTTTTCTGCTTCCTTCTTCTCCTGCTCTTTTTCTTCCGCGGCTTCTGCGGCCAATCGCTCTGCCCTGCGGGCTTTCACTGCGTCCGCCACCTGCTTTGCGACCTACACATCAGAGGGGCAGGAAGGGGAGGAGGGAAAGAGCGCGGAAGGAAAAGGGAGTTCCGGGGCAGGGCGATTAAAAGGGAAATTACGAGGACGGGGGGAGGAGAGCATGGAAAGGAAGGAAAGACGCACGAACGGCATCGTACCTTCTCGACCTCGGGAATGGAGTCGGCTGGGACTTGATGAATGAGGACGGCTGTGGCATAGGTGTCGAGGAGGGACGCACAAAGAGAAGTAGCCGTGAGCAATAATTGTACCGTGCTGCCCTACCCTGGACCTTCCTCCCTTCGATGTGTTCTCTTTTGTCCTTACCGGCTTCCTGACCAGCCTGTGCCTTGATGCCCAGAGCGTAGTCTCGTTCAATGGCGCGCAGGAGATTCCATTCCTACAGGGAAGGAGAGGAAGGAGAAGGCCCGATGGGCGGAAACCAGACGCGTGGTGAAAGGATGCTATCACGACAAGCACGGGCAAAACAATTCGGGGAGAGGGAAGGGAGAAAGAGGAAGGGAGGAAAAAGAAGG